TCACTGCACTGCACTGTAAATTGTATTCACCTATTTAATCTGTTTTATAATATTTTAGCTTCTTTTGATTTTACACTTTTAAAATTGTATTTTAAAATTGTATTTTTCTAATATTGCCTTTCTTTTTGTCTTTTGTCCTTGTCCTACTACCTCTTTATGTGTTATGTAAAGCACTTTGTTATGTTGACGAAAGGTGCTATATAAATGAACTTGTCTTACTCTGCAGTTAATAGAAGAAAAATATGGAACAGACAGTATGAAGATGTAGAAAGAGAGATGCGTCAGAGGTGTTTGTTTCTTTATGGATCGTTTTTGTACAGTATGGAGAGATATTAATATATGTGAATAAGTGGAAAAAATAGTCATGGGTTATTATGAAACAATATTTTATCACAAAGAATAAAACTCTGAACTACATATTTTTTATAATAAATATATTTATCCGCCTCTTCACTTTAAACAGTCGGAGAAGAGAATGTGGAAAATAGCCACCGCAGAGCTTTTGAGTGGGTGGGATTACAGATATTGCGAAAATGATTGCTTTGATGTGTCCTTGGAGCTTCTTCCGAGAGTGTTGCTATGCAGACCTGCTACCTTGAGGCTATAAGAGAACTGCAAAGACACAACCATAAAAACACATGCAAACTTACACACACATAAACACACGCACATATAGAGAAACAGACAGTCAGTTTCATCTCTGTAGACAGGGGATGAGTCATCCTCTATTCCAGTCCCAACTGTGACCCAGCCGGGTCATGTAAACAAGACAAGGAAACCTAAATATGGGGGCTGCATATACAGGCGGTAAATACAGTAACTGTAGGAAGAGACGGGCAGCTAAGGTTTCCAGTGAGATGTTGTTAAAGGTCTCAACAAAATTCCTTTTGTAAGAAAAAATAAAATATCACACAGCATGCACACATGCACAGCTCATCTGCCTTGCAGTCTGTGTGGAATGTAGATTGGTGGGTTGGGGTGGGCAAATGTTCCTGGAGCACAACCCCACCTCTCCCAACGATCTGCATCTGTTCAGCCTGTATAGACATGTGCTCAGCTGTGCATTTGTGTGTGTGACTAGTGTGCGCTCAGCTGTGAGTGTGTCATTGTGTGTATATGAGTAAGGAACAGTAGGCTGTAGTCTGCTTTTGTGCAAGTGGGGACATGTGTTGTCTCTCTTTCTCTGTGTGTGTGTGTTGGTGCAAAGAGGTGGGGGAGACTAATGTGGCATTCTCCCGCTGCTTCCATCGCCTGGTTCGTTCCTCAGCTGTCCCCGTGGACCGAAGCCAGACGACACTCATAGCTCTGGTGTGTGTCCGCACTCTGTGACCCAGGACTGTGTGTGTTTATAGTTGTATGTGTGTGACTGTATTGTCTGTTCCAACATCAAGCAAAAAAAAAAAAAAAGTGTAAATATAGTAGTGAAGAAGTGAGGACCCTGCGTTGGAGCACTGTAGAGCGGTGAATCACTGTTCTGGTTGTCCAGACAGCACGAGTTCCTCTGGTGGATCACGACAGAGCTCGCAGTGGCATCAAACAAACCACATAAAGAATCTGCAAATATGTGAACAAACAAAACATTATGTAAGCCCTGCCAGTCCCGAAGGGAAAAAGATTTTCCAAGACACATCAGTTACTCTGTCACATCCCTAAATACAGGTTGAGAAAAGTACACAGTTCTAGTTAGTATATTTTTTGACACGCTCTTTGTGGTACAAGCGAAATACACATATCTGAAGCAGTGAAAGTAAAAATCAGGCAGATTTATGTTCTTAAACTGTAAGATTAAAGGAACTGTTTTTTTAAATCATCTAGAAAAGAAGAACTATTACCCCTTTCCACCAACCTGGTACAAGTGCCTTTTCAGAGATGGTTTGCTTTTCCACAAGCTTGGGAGCCGCCACAGAGCAACGGTGTTACATCACTGTACTTCTTAATAGCTCAAACGTTAGCTATTGTTAACAAGATTAGCTGGCTAGCTAGCTAGCTGTTGGTCAGCTAACATTACCCAAGCAAGAATACCACTAGTAACGTTAATGTTTGACGTTCATAACATCCGTGTGAGAAATGAGTCGCTATGCTTGCTTGGGTAAAGTTAGCTGACCAACAGCTAGCCAGCTAGTTCAATGTTTCATTCATAACATTAACATTGGTATCACTGAAAGTGTTGCTGAACTGGGGTGGAACCAGTTTTCCTGGCTGAGAGCCGGTTCTTTGGCTGTTGAAAGTTAAGAAGTGATTAGAGCAAAGTGCCTTGGTGGAGAAGGTGTATAAGAGGTGCTTTGAAAAAGAATAAAGGATTTCTATTTCACAGGTGTCCCTCTGGTCCCATTTATGCTCCCAGTCAAAGCCAAAATACCAAAACAACAGACAGTAGTTGAGCTAATTAAAGGGTTGGTCCAGCTGAATGACCAAAAACACATTTTGTATTTTGCTTGGTATCTAGCTGGCTTTAATTTGCTTGACTTGTGACATATCCATGCTGGATAATCTACACACAGCTCCAACGGACACAAGCGAGGTGTTTATGTAATCCAGGGTAACATTGTTTCTGGAAATACACTTCTCTTTTTAAACATTGAAGTGCAATTAGTCACAACTGGATAAAACCAAAACTATCTGACGGCTAGATAGCACTAAACGTATGTGCAGTCAATTTAAACAGTGTTTTTGACAAGGTACTACGTAGCAGCATCAACAACAACATAACCGGAATAGAGCGCTAGACAGCAAGAGGTTTACACTTTGAGCCAAACATGGAGCAACAAGCAGGTCAAGATTTGTTAACCTGCATGGTGATCAGAGAGCTGTCACCACTCTGCCCCTCCTCACTCCGGCTCGCGAACAGAGATCCTGCTGTGGCTCCATATGGTGCGAAGGCTTAAGACTCGTTCTCATATGAAGGAGAGAGGAGAGGAGAAAGAAAACACCATCGAATGTGTGTGATTCAGAGAATTGAAGTCAGTGTGCCAGAGGGGATGCAGGGACGTATGAGCTTTAGACCATATGGTCAGAAGGTGACTGGATTGGTGGCTAATGGGATTGATCTAATCTGCTTTTACATTAAAAGGAAGAGAAGGAGAGAGAAAGACAGACATTTGGATTTAGGAAACAACTTACTTTAGCATGGTTAGTGGGGTTATGTCATAAATATAGAATTAAAATGGAAAAACAAAAATATAGGAGAAATACATCATTGAACAACATGTTCTTTTGGACACCAATTAAAAAGATATAATCCACCACAGAGCGAATATCAGCATATCAGAGTAGCGTCACTACTGTAAAAAGATAGAACAGAACAATCTGACCGAACAGGATAATCTCTCTTTCCTCTCATACATGTTTGTTGAACTGATCTCAAGGTAATTTGAATAAAGATGTTAATGAGGGCACAGACTTGTTGTTGATGGAAAAAGTGAGCCAGGCTAAATGACGACACCCACGTCGTTTTACCACGAAGGATCCTTCACGCTTTCAAGATCAGCTGGCATTAATAAACCTGGCTCTAATTCCCCCCCACACATACCCAAACCACCCGCTCACCATACACCGCCTCTCTCTCTTGTCTTCTTCAGTAGGTGATGTTGCTCAACCGGTTCCTCGTCCTGTTGCGTGTATACCTGACTTTTTCTTCCCTCGGGGCGTCAGCGTGCGAGTGTAAACATCCATGAATCATCAGTGTTACAGGAGATGATCAGTCTATTTCCACTCTTATTTTGTGGTAGTGTTAGCGTAGATGTACATCTCCTCTGTTAACCAAACAGATAGGACATAGGACAGATAAGAGTGGCAGGAGGGGTAGGAGCAAAGCAGGGGCAGATAGATACTAAAATAATCTTGGAATGACAAGAAAAATGTCAAATACATGAGCCAAACACTAGACTGATTTGATTGAAAGGACCCCTCTCTAAAGGTAGAAGGGGAGTTTATTGGTTCAGTAAGTCCACCTAACTTGGTCCCAAAGTCCCCAGTTGAAGAGTTATTAAACCATACTCAGAGTCCACAAGTGCCAGAATTGTCACAATGGCTCTCACAAAACTTTCCTAGAATGACAATGCTGAGCACCTGAGCTCACTTACTGACTGGAAGTGACATCATTAGACACCCAACAGCAGGGTAGACGCAGCTGCAGCCATAAATTAACAATACCACCAACTATTGTCAATGCTTGCTCATTAGCTCACAGTAAACAAACCTGCTCCCTGTCATTAATTCTATCAGCTGCAGCTGTGTCTACCCTGCTGTGAGACTTCTGGAAAGAAAACCCATCAGAAGCAAATTCAAGTATTATTAGTTACATATCGTATGTTTCACTATCTAGAAGTGCCGTGACTGCTGTGGCCTTTGTCTGAGCACTTCTAGATAGAATTTAACCTTGGATGACTACGAGTCTTCATGCATATGTTACACACTTTGTTCTGTCTATTCATTGTTTTTCACGACCTCCATGGATGTGCATCATACCAAGGCAGTGTCAGTATCACACGATGCCTTGAAGTTGTGTAACAAGCCACTGACTCATCAGCATCCCAGCATTCGCTGAATCTGTAACCTTATCGCAGACTGAAATCCAATTCACTTCATAGTGATTCACTATACCGACTGAACCAGGAACCGTCTGAGACGCACTTTTGTTTCATAACACAGTCCCGAGGTGTCAAATAGCAAAAACAAAGACTGTAACTGCTGGTTACGAGTTTCAGATTAGGCAACAAATGATCACCTGAATGAAATATTCTTATGTTCTGTTGTCTCACTATTACTAAAACAAGCCTTTCATCAGAACTGAACTGAAAATCGGAAATTAAAAAAAATCCTTTTAAAGGTTTAAAATCTCATCTGGCTCTGTCGACACTGGATTTGACAAATTTCAGACATTGACATCTTGCTTCACCCAGTATGTTAATCCACTTTTGGTTTTATAATGTAACGTAGCCAGTTTTGTCATAATAATCAAAAAAGATGTGTCAAACCAGAAATCACCCCAGAGCAGCACATTTCAGTTAATAATCATTTTTATTTTCTTTAGAAAAAGAAACTATCACAACTTCATTTGGTTACTGTACAGTTTCTCTTCTCATAGTCACTCAGTCTGATAACAGGTTGTGATTTCATGCTGGAACACCAAACACCCTCCTACTAACGCACACCACTAGTACAACATGACAGTATACAACTTTCTTTTTCTGCTTTTGCATTTTACATCCTCTGATATTCTGGACTGAATAGCAATAGAAACCACTTCTATTAAAAAAAATGGAGACAGAGTAGAAATCCCTGACATTTTCACTTGGGGAAACTAGGGACGAGAGAAAGAACTCTTTGAGCGGTGTGGTCCATACAACATGCACCTGACGTGTTCTCTGTGTGTGTGTTTTGGACAGCACCATAATTCACTGATATATATATATATATATATGTGTGTGTGTGTGTGTGTGTGTGTGTGTGTGTGTGTGTGTGTGTGAGTTTAAGAGGTTCCCTGCCCTACATGAGACAGTGAGAGAAAACGAGAGGGAGATGGTGGGGGGGAGGAGACAGAATCTAGGTCAGATTGTGGAGCATGCAGACCCCCTTCGTGGAAACACTCTATATGCATTCTCTCGCTCTCAGTGGACAGAACTGCATGCATATTCATCCATACTCGGGACAGAGGACTGTAAGTGGAACACGGTTAATATAAGATTAAGGGATGTATCAAGTATGTCTCCCTGAGAAACACTTCTTTCTTCAGTACCATAAAAAAAACCCTCCTTTGTCACTGGCCTGTCCTGTCAACAATTCCACACCTCCCCCTGAAAGAAAAAAAAAAACATAACTTGGCTCATATTAAACATACTGCCCTTCGTTTTATCCCATGATCTCTCTCACCTTGCACTCTTCATCCATTAGGATTAATGCGCCACTGCCAGCAATCGCAGCGGCCAATTAGGGGCATGAACAGGTGACATTCATACTAACTTTTACTTTCCAAAGCCAACTTTCCACCCCACAGGTGTGTGTGTGTGTGTGTGTGTGTGTGTGTGTGTGTGTGTGTGTGGCATGTGCAATGACTTGCAGCTCTCCTTCTCTCCCTCTTTCTCTCTCCCTCCATATATATCCGTTTATGTGAGCCAGCCTCACACAGCAGTCTCACACAAACCACTTTGTGAAATACCGAGTGTGACGGTGACACCTTTGTGACAGTTCGAGTGGCGCTACGCCCCCCCCGCCGACCTCCTCACTCTTTTCACTCAAATGGGGGAGTTCGGAGGAGGAAGGGGCTGTAAATAGGTTGTCCTACGCCCTCTTAATGTCTCCCACAGTAGCACCACGGAGCTAAAGCACACACACATACTAACGTCACATATTGAGCTGACATGCAAGCACCAAGGGCTCAGGAAAGGTAGAAAAAGGTCGCCATTAGAAAAGACAAAGAAGTGAAGACTTATTGCTAAAAAAAAATGTGTTCCTTATTAGTCACTACGTAATGCCGATCCCTGTTTGAAGGCCTTCATGTTGTAGATATGAGGAATAACTGTCAGTGTGTGCAGGGCCCAAACACTAGAGCGTGATTCATTTTTTCCTATTAAATTATGTTGGCTGAACAAACCTTTGCTTGCAAACTCTAACCTGATAAGAGTAATCTCTGTAGCCCTTTTCAAGTTTCACTCGTAAAAACACGTACCGAGAAAGGGCAGCGTCCTCCGAGCGTTAAGAAAGAGTGTGAAGTGAGGCAAGTGACAGTGCAGGTGTGCTTGAGTGTGTTTTACTAAAAAAACAAAACACATCACTCACATGAGAACACACACAGGTTAAAAACATTTGCTCATTTACGAAGCTGTCCACTCACACGAGGAAGTTTTTAAAAAGCATTATCTAAATCAAACCTCATGAATGGCGGTATATAGAAATTCCACAGCCTCTCAAGGAAATCCTCTGTATAAAAACTTTTTTTAGAGTGTTTCTTTTATTGTCTGTCTGTCTCTCTCTCTCTCTCTCTGTTCAGCTAATATTAAAAACCAGGAACTGGGGTGTCGACACCTCTCAGTAGAAAACAAATAAAAGAACAACCAAACGAGTTTTAAAACCTAGGCTCCACTTTCTCCTGCACTGTGACTCCTCCCGAGGAGTTCAGAGGAAGAAGAAGTGGAAGGAGAGAGGAGATATCGGTCTCTCTCTCTCTCTCTCTCTCTCTCCCCCCTCTAAGAGACAAGTTTGGGTAGGACCGTGCGAAGCGGTATGGCCTCCCCAGAGTCTCCCATCATGTTGCTCCTCAGTTTGTTGTTGGCAGCTGTGGTGCCTAAGCCAGGCCCCCCTTTGGCCAGGATAGAGGGGAAGGAGGTGCTGTGGTGTTCGGGGAGCCGTTTCACTGTCGCCCCTTGGCTCTTATCAGTCCCAGGTAGGGGCTTGGGTAGGCGCCGATACAGCCAAGGGTGTCTGAGGGCCAGGCTAGGGGTGAGACGAGACGAGGGATCCCAGTCCAAACACTTCTTTATGAAGTCAGTAAAGGTGGGGTCCTCGCAGCCCTTGAGCGCAGCGCTCCACTCCTTGCTACCTGGAGGACCTCTCATCTTGCCACGGCGGGAGCGAGACCCCGTCAGTACAGTGGCCCCTGTGGGCAGGGTGTTGGCTCCGCAGTAGCGAGGGTGGCCCTTGGAGTTGATGAAGTTCTTTGCCCTTTTGGCCTGCTCCAGGACCTTCTGCGGAGGCATGCCCAGGAGCTCCATGACACAGGCCAGCTGGTCGCCCTCGTCCTCGCCAGGGAATAGTGGGTAGCCAGTCAGCAGCTCAGCCAGTATGCAGCCAAAGCTCCACATATCAATAGGAAGGCCGTAGCGTGAACCGAGGATCACCTCTGGAGCTCGATAGAAACGGGACTGTATGTAGGTGTACACTCGCTGGTGTTCAAAACAGCTGGAGCCAAAGTCAATCACCTGGTAGAGACAGCAGAGTAAAGAATTGTAGAACATTTTTACAAAACGTGTAATATGACTTGTACACAATTTCACAGGCTAGCCATGAACGTGCATTACCTTGATGCCGCTGCGTCCCTGTTGTTTGAGCAGGATGTTCTCTGGCTTGAGGTCACAGTGGATGATTCTATGCCTGTTCAGGGCCTCCAGGCACTGCAGGATGGAGTGTGCAAACTTTCTGACCAGTGGCAGGCTGAAGCCCTGGAACTTGTTGCGCTTGATAAGCTCATACAAGTTCATGCTCAGCAGCTCAAAGGTCATGCAGATGTGGTTGCGGAAAGTGAAGTTTTCAAGCATATGCACGACATTCATGGTGCCATTGCGATCCTGCTTGCGCAGGTGCTCCAGGATGCGGATCTCCTCCTGCGCCTGCCGGTGAAAGCGCTTCTCGTTGCGCACCATTTTCAAAGCCAGATGCTGCTGCAGTTTGTGGTCGTAAACCTTCGCCACCTGGCCAAAGCTACCTTTACCAATAATCTAAAGAGGGCAAGAGAGAGGGAGATAAAAGTTGGATTAGCTACAAATCAGACAGAGACAATATCATTAGTTTTACAGACACTCAACTGTAACAGCCAACATTCACTGTTTCTGTGTCCAACCTTGAGGAACTCGTAGCGGTAGGCCAGGTGGTCATGGGGGGCATGAATGTATCCTCCCTGCTCGTCATCGTAGCCACAGTTGTTGTTGCCTCCAGCAACAGCAGGCCTCTTCTTAGCGTTGGGTCCCACAAAGTAGATGTCTGGGTAGGAGTGGATCTCGGTCTGCTCCAGGGTGGTCAGCTGAGATCGATATAGTCTCAGAGCCTGGTCAGGGGTGAGAGGGCCACACAGCTTCCCACTGTTCCCTCCATTCCCAACTCCGTGTGGGCCTGAGGATTCACTGGAGCCCTTACTGGATTCAGTGCTGTGGCGAACAAGCATAACAGAAACATGGTGATGAACAACTCAGAGTTCTGGCCACTTAACATGTTCTGAAAGATGTTTTTAAGTTCCCTCTGTGTTTTCATGCATGTATCTTTTTCACCTGTCTACACTGCGCTCCTTGGATAAGCTGGAGACCGGGGCAGGTTTACTCGGCGTCTGACCAGTGGTCCCACTGTTCTGAGTGGTTGGTGTGGTTATGGCATTGATCTTTCGGTTGTTGGTGGAGTCTTCGTACAGGTACTTGACCTTCAGCTGGCCACCTCGCACAGTTACCTGATCCCTCATCACAGTCTTGTTACTGACAACCTATTAGAGGAAGGAGAGAGAAAGATTGATAGACAATGGACAAAAAGCAAGCCATTAGAAAATCTGTTTGGTAAAATACTCCCGCAGTGAGTAGAGTGTACCTATTGTACATCTTTGTGGAGAAGACGTAGTTTATTGTGTGTGACCATATTCAACATGAGTGAAGAGAGGACCTCTCTGTTTTAGTGCGTGTCTCTCCACAGACTAGTGACACATTGTGCACAACAGGGGCTACTTGTAGCGGGCAAGACCTCAACTGAGGGGCAACTGAACAGAGTCATGCACAAAAAATGTCTTTGTTGGCTTGAATCTTGTCATTATTTCATATATAATTATATAAAATAGAGTTAATAAGTCTTTGAAGCTCATTTTGGAAGCAAGGTAGAGGAACAACAGAAATGCTGAAAACAGATGCTGGCATCCCTGTACACATTTCCACACTGGCATGGAAAGAGTGCAGAGAAAGCAAAATTCCCAATGAACTCATGATTCATGCCACAAACAAAAAGTAGAACATGCAGCTCGGGATTTGTTTTATGCAGGCCTAAATATCAACAGCCAACTTCAGAGTCTTGAGCAATGATCCATTATCAAAACTACAGCAAGCTTAGGTGAACCAGCCCAACAGGAACTAGATCCAGTCTGGTAGAAAATTCAGAATGAGGGGCCCGCCCCCAAACCAAACTCATACAAAAGGACCCACATCCCAGCCTACTCGTTTGTTTGCTAGCTGTTAGCAATTAGGTAAAAGGTATAAGCAATCTTTGACTCAGCATTGCAATAACAAAGTCCAACATTCAACTTCTTGAAAGGATTTGAACATTTCAGTTGGGGTTCAATATAACTGCCAACAGTGGCTGACCATTGTCACTAAAACCTACAACTCGGCTGTTGCAGATAAGCAATTGTTTGTGGATTACACAACCACGGTACATTTTAAAACATGCCTGCCCATAACTTTAAAAGTGACAGATCCACCTTTGCTTGGGATGACCTGAAAGGTTAGAATAGTTTCGGGAAGGCTCTAGGGCCTGGCCTTCACCCTGCCAGTAAACAGCTTCATTTCAGCAACCCCAGGAATTCTTTCCTCCTCACTCCCCGTCTCTCCCTCTCTTCTCACTCTTACCAGCGGAAAGAGCCCTCCGCAAGATTATGGAGCATAAGGGAAATGACAGTCATTAAAGTTAGATTATACTCTTAAAACTGTAAAAGCAGCGTGGCTGTTAATAAGACACGCTGACATAAACTCGCCGTGGCCTTCCTATATAGACACACTGGAGAGGCGTCTTTACTGGGTCTGTCTCTTTCACGTGACCACTTCTGATTTCAATGGCAGTGTGGTTCCACTCGTCTGAGTGAGGTTTTCTTTTCTCCCATTAGATCGCTATGCTGCCCTGTGGAGCTACTGGCTTCGGCTTGTACACACAGCTGAGCCGGTCTGTGGCTGAAACCATGTCAGCTGATAAAGACGACACAACAAGGAAATGTACATTAAAAGTAGGTGCTGACATGTTCCACTGAAAGAGGACTCAGCTTGGAGTGTGTATGTGTTGTAAGTTTGAGTCCTAAAATAGAGGTGGAATGCAGGATGGGTTTCCATACATGTAACCATATAGTCTTAACTTATTACAACAGCCCTACTGCTGACCCAGGGTCCCATGCAGCTGTTGTCCCAAAGCTGTACTACAAACACAGTGAATGTCATTGATTGAGCCCCTTCACCCACACACGCTGACACAAATGCTGGTTTAAAAGTCAAAGCTTTCTACACGTGCAGCACCGACAGTGGTAGGAGGTGCAATTAGAAAAAAAGCACGCTTAAAAGGTGATGGATATGAAAAGTAGTGTGAATCTTCTTCACCATGAGGTAATACACGAGGTGGACAGTCCTCTGTGTGCAAATCTGCATGGTGCAACAGATGGAGAAGAGCTAATCTCTTTGCTGTCAGAGAAACACCTACCTAAGTATTCTTTCATCCAAAGCGCACACTCACCGAGTTGCACAACTCTCTAGGTGTAGACCTTTGTCAGACACATCAGCAAATGATGCAGAGATATAAACTGTGTCACAGAAATAACTAAAATGTCACCTGTAGTAGTGTTGAACAGAGCAGGCCATTTACCAATCATTTATGTTGTATTACGACCCGGAACTAAGTGCTACTACAATTAGTTTTTAGTATTAGTTTGTCCTTTCCTCTAACAAAGAACAGGGATGACATCAGTTTATTACTTTAATAGAGCATGAGGCAAGCTTTAGAAGCTGAACTGGGGCGAGCTACTGTCAGTCACATTCAGAGGATATTACCTCTGTGACCGTGACAGAAAACACAAAAGGAAAAGGGACAGGACTAGAATAGAAAACTAGGCCTAACCTCTGAGCAAGCCCACTGATGGTGGATTACACAGGACAGAAGAAGGGGGGGGAATGTTGATTGGTGATTTTGTTTGTGGGTCACATTTTCAAGCCCAATAAATCTTTACAATATATCAAACCAGCCTTTTTCCCCCCTTTGCTGGTGGAACATCATTGTCTGCATGTGTGCACTTTCTGCCAAAGGAGCTTTTCAGAGAGGGAAACATAGCGGAAAGGTACCTCACGGGCCTATTTTGTCCGTATCTTATCTGTACAGTCAAAAATGGTATTCAAAGATATGAAAAAAAGCAGCAAAAATATTTACTGATCAGCAAGAAGCAACTTAGAATAATCACTTATAATAGGTCAAACTTACTGAAGCCTATAAATCAGTGAGAATTAACCTATAAATATACATGACTACACGCAGACCTGCAGATCAAACGCGGTTTGTGACTGGTTCTTCTGTTAATTTGTCCAAGCAGATGAGGGCAGTCGTGTAAATGTCAATATACTGTATATTGGTAAATTTGCATCCTGCAAACTATGAAATGGATATAAAAACACTGTTTGCATACTGCAAATGTCCTCACGGCTGGTAATTGCAGATCTCTGTATTTAGTTTGGCTGGAGACACAAAATGGCCCCTTCTCTTCAGCTACTCTGACACAGTCATGAGAGCTGTCCGCTGCAGCACATATTCTCGTATAGCCTCAGGCAGTCAATCAATATTACTCACATGATCACTTGTTATTCTCGCTGAAGGATATACAAACATGACTGAATAACAAAGGTCGGCGATAAAAGTAATAAGACAAGAGATAAGCTACCCACCCTGCCAAACAAGATTTAGGAAAAGAGGGAGGAGTGCAAATGTGATGAATGGGAACAGGGCTGAGTGGGGAATATCTCTCTGAGGAACAGGATGTCTGGAGACAGACGTGCTTCAGCACAGGAAATACGGCTTTACTGACTTTGTGCGTGCGTGCGTGCGTATGTGTGTGTGTTTGTTTGTGTGTACTTACTGTGTGTTTGGGCATGGGGGGCAGCCCAGACGGACTTTTTGTATCTGCTTCGTCTTTAAGGATGTGGTCTGTCCTCATGTACGAGTCATACAGACCATCGCCATGCCGTGCTGAAGGAACAAAGGTGAACAAATAAATCAGCGTGATGAAGTGGAATCATCAAATCTGCAACATAGACACACTCAGGGATAAAGCTTGAGGATGACGTTCAGAGGTAACGCCTACAGAATGCAATCTAATCTCCACAAAGGCAGGCAATCCCTCGTTTGTTTAAACAAGGTGAAAGTCCCATAGATTATTTCATCAATCAACTCACCAGTTTCAATGGTTAACTTGAGACACACAAAAAAAGTTTGTTATGGCCCAAAACAATCCCCAGAGCTAGCCTCAGCGGGACAGCCCCACAACACTGGACTCTGTAAGCCAGTGGAGATGCACATTGTCTGCCACAACATCCTAACCCACATTTACTGTGAAAAGGCCATTATTAGCAGATACATCCATTGTATCTATTGTGTCCAACACATTGTATCCAAGGCCAGAGCTCCAACCTGACCAGCTTAGATAGGGCTTAGGGTCCCAGATCGCTAGCGCTGCAAGTGGTATTATTGGCCTAATAGGGGTAACAGATGCCTCTGTGACGACAGCATCTTTCCGTCTGCCCATCTGTCCATTCAGGCCGAGTCATGTAGTGCACACACCAGGTGTGCTCAGAAATAGAGCTCATATAGAAGGATGCGGGTGCACGTCATTCAACAGTGCTGCGTGTGGGCGCTCACCTCTGTGGCGTTGAGCCAAACGCCTAATGTGAGATGATACAGACAGAATAGATGGATGGGGGGAGCATTTGGGGCTGTGGGAGGAAGCCAGTTACTCAAATGACAAACCTCCATGAACCAGCTGTTCATCTGAACGGCCATTTACCCACACGTTGCTACTTCAATAGAAGTAAGCTGCCAGTATTAATCTCTGATAGCTTGAAACGAGGCTGAGTAGCCTGTTAGCATAAGCCATTTATAGAGCTATTGTATTGGGTTAGCTCATTAGCAAAAGCCCAAAACTTGTGGCAGGTTTGGTGTTCTCTCCGATTAGCCCTTGAGAGTGTTGTAACCATGTGCCGGTGCGTCAGAGCCCATGTCCCCAGCTCGTCAACAGACCAGCTCCAGGACAGATTAGACCTGCTGCCTGGATACAGATGCATTAGACCTGCGCAGCGAAGCAAACAGAGGCATTAGGGCTCCACACACAATATTAGCGAGCACAGACCCCCATTAGCTCTCTGCAAACTCCTAATCACTCAGCGGGGGCTGAGCACTTTATGCACAACAGCTGACTTTGTTGTCCAAGCAAACTTTCCAGCGGGAAAAAAAAATTAAACAGAGCCCAAACTTCATACATAACCAAACATCCAGCATACTAAGTTAGGTCCAACTGGCACTACAGCTCTCCAACCTGTGAAACCCCCGCTCTCTGCACAGGGTAGAGTACAGGGGTCAGACAAACAGACATACAGCCAATCATGTGTCATAAAACGTCTGAGTGGGGCAGAGTCACAGCTTTTCCTCCAGCTATCCTCCTCTTCCTAGTGGACAGAGTGTCTGCTTACAGACAATACATCCAATGTACAGCACAAGGGTAACAGCTGACAGAGGCTTGAGAGCAAAGTCACACAAACTTTACATTTTCAACAATAGATGCAAGTTTTAAAACTCCCTAGTGCACAAAAACACACAACGAGGTCAGTGCAATATACATATAAACAATAACAACGGTGACGCGTCATGGTGCAAATTCCAACAGTTGTTTAAAAAAAAATAATTTAAAAAAAAGGTTGCTGATACAGATATGAAGGCTTATCTTAACCGTGATAAGAAGACAAATGCTTACGAGGAAGAAGTAAAATCAACACAGAGCTTCCTGGACTGTCTGCCAAAGCACGCACACACACAAGTCTCGTGAGTGATGTGAAGTTGCAAAGCGAAAAATAACATGTTTACAACCCCGCGTGTCGTGAAATGACCGCTGTGGCATTATTCATCCGCCCGTCCACGGAACGACACGACGTGACCTTTAAACCGGGAGCCAAGACGGAAATATGTCAATCAAAGCCACTCTAGTCACAAGATATTTCTGTAAATGCCAAGAGTTGATCGAGGGCGAAACTAAACGCCACTAAAACACCGAGCTGCCGTGCTGGCAATGCTTCACCTCAAACGCCGAATCCGCGTTAAACAAAAGCAAACATTTAGTAAACAAGACAAAACACTGCAGCACTTTTGTTGTGGTTACCTGTTGCTATTGGGCCCTCTGGTTTTCTGCTGATTATCATCATGATTGCGATTAAAATGTGATGCCAGCATCCGAAGTGGGGAAAAAAGTGTCAAACAAAAAGATTCAAACTAGAGTCACGTTGCAAACTGTGCTAACAGCATTTATAAAGTGTTTGCTAAAATTAAAATAACAATAAAAAAAAAAAAAAAGTTGAGTTGTGGTTTCGATTGAACTAACGTTAACTCAAGTTATTCTCTCCTTGTGATTAGAGCCCTCTTGTCTTCTTGTCTTCGACTGTAAGTATTATTGTTTTTAAACCCCACACAGTTGTGTATTCAGTGTGCCCCGGCTAACATTAGCCTTGGCTACAGTTTTGAAAAACCTGAGCAGGCGGTGGGGGTCGTTTCCCTCAGTTAGCTAGCCAGCTAGCTCGCACAGCCACAGAAACCCTCGTCCGCCGGAGAGCCGCTCCCTCTGTTAAAAATAGTTTGAGTCCAAATGTTACAGCTCGGTGGTCTGACCCGGGAGCCCCTCGCCTTTCTCTGTCGGTGCAGTGAGTCGATCCAGAGCACCATTCCCGTGCTTATTCCCGGTTAGCAAACAGCGATGCTAGCACTCGTTGCACTCCCCCCTCCTCCCCCCAGGATTTTGTCCTCCTTCGGGACAGCTTGGGGCTGCTTCGCTCGTCTTCGGGGATGGCTAGCCAAAAATAGGCTAGCTAACTAGCTGTACTCAAGCCCCATGCTGACTGCAGAAACAACCGGGGGCATCGTCTTCTTAGGAAAGCTTCACCTGTATTCAGTGCAATAAAGCGGCGGTGTTTAATCCGTCTTCTCTGCGGTACGAGTATCTTATTCGACGCAGCTGTGTGTTGTTGCTAAGGGCGTCTTCACTGAGCCTGGAGTCAGCAGGCGAGCGGAGGGAGGGAGGGAGGAGGGAGGGGCGGGGCGGGGCGGAGCGGGGCGGGGCTTAGCGAGGAGACAACAGGCGGAAGGGCGCCCCGCAGCGTCCGACTGGTGCTCTGCATGGGAGCCAGTACATATATATATGTATGTAAATGTCAAGACATTCACTGTAAATCTGCTTCATTATAAAACTGACAGTATTATAAAGTAGTTGAGAAATAATTATATACCAGGTTGTGAAAAGGTACTCATTAATAAAGGGTTTTTAAAATGATGTTGACTAGAACATTAATGAATGGTTACAAACGTCAAATCTGTCGTTAGTAAATCATTAATAAAGGGTAATTACCATTAAGTCTGCAGTTGTAAATGTTAGTAAATCATTAATTAAAGGTAATTACAGCTAAGTCTGTAGTTCTAAATGTTAATAAATCATTAATAAAGAATAATAATAACAATAATCCAAGTCTGAGGTCATAAATGTTGATAATTTGTTCCTAAATTAATTTTGGTCCATGCTCTGCATCACTTGTTCCAAAGGATAAAAGGTCAAACAATGCATTGGGGTGTCCTCCTTAAGAATTCAAAAGCTAAAAAGTTAAATTAAGTCAAAATAGTGGTTTCTATTAATGGCTTACAACCGTTCTGTAAAGCATTAGTAAATTATTTATTAACCTGTGATAGGGCCACTTGTTACAACTTATAAACCCTCTGTAAGGTGGTATTATTTATGTTAATGCAATGTTTTTTGTGATTAAGTCCTTTTAAGTGAAAAAGTGCCAATTCACAAAAACATTCACTGGTTCTGAAACTTCTTGTGAAACTTCTTGTGAAACTTCTTGGTGGTAGTTGGTGGTTTGCTTTGTTCTCTTAGTTTTGGCCTTTGGGAGATTGTGATGGGCATTTTTCACAATTGTTTTTAAATATACAAACTGATAAACAATGAACAAAATTGATCCCAAAAAGTAATCACCAGTTTGAGTCCAAGTGCTAAAAAGACTGAGATCCTCAGGCCCACACAGTGCTGTTGGTCATTCACTTTGCAATACCCTGTGAGGAAAGCTGAACGGTGCACTGAAACTGGAGAGGGTATGGAGATCTATACAGGGCTAGATATAGTTAGGGGCAGGGCAGAGGACAGACGAAGTGAGACCGGGCAGGCATGAGAAGGGGAATAGGCTAAATTCAGACAGTGATACATGCTGGGCAGAGGGTCATGCTAATCTTAGCTCTTTCTCAGAGGTGAGAAGAGGGGTCTGTCTATATTTGCTGCCATAAATAAGCATACTGACACAGTTTCAGACGGCTCTCTGGGCAAAAGCCAGCCCTTAAGGCCAGCTTGGCCATGCTGATTATTCTTAGATGGTGGTGTATAGAGAGAGTAGAGTGACAATGCCTATAAACTGATCTGCTTATTGCACTTTCCTTTCAAAAGGGTTCAAGGTGTAAGTGTGTGGACCAAGCGGCGCTCTAATCACAGCCAGTGAATTCACAACCACAGCAAGAGATGGGACCAGGTGCAAAGCTACCTATAGGTCCCTGTGGGGGTTGGGGGTTCTGGCTGTATTTGGTCTCAGGGCCTGTGACAGACACGGACACCTGTGGGTTTATTGGACTATAACCTTTGAATTGCCCTCAGAAAACAGAATCTGCCTAAAAATGACCAGATCAAGGAAAGTATTGTGTAAAACTGTGAGAGTGAGAACCTAAATGTTTTAATTGTGTGGAGCATATCAAAACATATGAAAACAAAATCACACACACATGCATTTGCATTTGTACCCCAAGTGAAGATAGACCTTGCAGTTTAGATGACACATTGCCACCTGCTGGTGATTTGAAAGCAATACAAGCTACAAGGCTTCTGGTGAAGAAAACATGCAAAGCTCAGCACTTTCTACTTTGGGCATGTCTGGACAAAACATTCTTCAACTCTAAATAGTGCACAACTGTCCGTCTACATGAATAAATAAATAAATCTAATCCAGCAAGCAATTAAATCTTGAATTAACTGTCAACAACATATATGAACGTAATAGCAATAAAACCAGCAAATCAAACTTTTGCTGACAGACAAGCACGGAGAAGTGAAGCTACTATGTTCTCTTTTGTCGGAGAGGTATCTCTATGTGATGTTCTCGTCAAGTTAAGATTAAAGTTGTATACACGGAACCATTTTGGGCCTTATGATGGAGAGACTCACTTAAGTATGACACAACTTACAATGCAGAAGAGGTACCTCAGTGATGTCTTATGGTGCTGTATGACCCTCAGTGAAACCATGTTGAAGACAGAGACATGAGGATATGAGACCATTTCAATAAAGGGATGACCTTTTTATTTCAGTTTATATTCTGTACAGTTCTACTGCTATATTTATACACACTTCTTCAGTTAAAACAAAACAAATTGCAAAAAAGCATTAAGTCTCAAACATCCATGACAAAATATCCTATGGATGAGGTGGACTAAAAAATAAATAACACACACCACCCACACACACACACACACACACACACACAGACACAGAGAGGGTTTATTGGAAAGACTATGCGCTGGGGGGGAGAAAGAAAAATGACATATGCACCACCCAAGAAAGACAGATTTGCACACATGCAAAAGCACCCATACATACATTTAGGCGTGTGTGTGTGCTGAAACACACCTTACAAAAACACACACAGGTGCACATGAAACAAAAGGCACTGCCAGCAGGAAAAGCTTGGGCTTTGGAGGGTGGCGTTAAAAATATGAAACAGGTTTGGGTTTACTGAGAAGCATGTGCTTATGGACAATGGGCCTCATTTATCAGTATTTCTATGGTATTAAATAAAAGATGTCTGTGTGTAAAATGTAAATGCTTTGGTTAAATGCAATCGTTATTATGATACATGCATGCCAAATACCTTTTACAAAACAACCAAATTCGCAGTTGTAATGTATAATAATACATGTGCACTAAATGCATGTTTTAATACTCCATAAGTGAGGCCCAATGAGGGAGCGCTGATGACACGCAAACACTCACTATAAAACAATATTCACATTGTCCTCAGTGCCCTGGATGAGCACAGGCATGCACGCACACACGCACACACGCATACACGCACACACACACACACACACACCAACCAGTAGGAATGATACCAAAAGAATATTAATTTTCATTGTAACAACAACAAAGTTAAAACCTTGTCACTCTTTTTCCAGTGTCTACATAATACATATGCATTGCAAACACATCATTGGTACATCATAGCCATTATCATGAATTCTATATATTTTTTGTTTCTTTTTTTGGGGTGGAAGGTGTGGGAGATAAAAGAAAAAAGAAGCAGAAATGCATGCCCCGCCATTTGTGGGCCATTCAGTGACCTGCATCTATATGTGCAAAAACAGAAGCCGGTTTCATTTTTACATACACCACCTTTAGTTAGATAAACTTCCAAATCCCTTTAAAATCCTTTCGATAGATTTGTCCCTTTGAAGCTTTGGTGTAAAAGTCCTCTCACATTCAAATGCAACCTATATACCGTAACAGCCTAAAATCACTTTTACAATAAAGCGTAAAATCTGTGAAGGTATGTTGGATTGCCTCGATCAGTAGGCTTCATCTGCAGGTAGAGATCATGCAAAGGTTGGTTAGTTAAGGATTAAGGGAGGGGGAAATTAAATCACAGCTAACACCTGTGAGGAGAAGATTGGTTACTGGGTCGGACTCAACTTCCTGTCAGCGAAGCACCTTCACGCACATCTTTTCACGTGGCATTAAGGGAGGAAAATGGAATGATTGGAACAAATAAAGAAGGCAGAGATATCGGTCAAAGTGGGCTAAAATAGGGGTTGTGTAGGTGTGGAATTCGGTTTCTTTCCTCCTTTAGGTTTTCTCTTTGCTCAACACGTGCTCCCTGAGAAAAATCAGAGAATGGATCTCACTTTCTTAATTTTTCCATTCTTTCTTTCTTGTTGTAGCATCCAAAGTAGCATTCTGCTTCCAACCTTGATCCTTAACACCTCCTTCGCAAATCTTATATTCCAGCAGAAAAATAAAACATCTTGTGATAATCTTATACATCAATTCCAAGAAAGAAAAAAAAAGGAACAGTATGATTGTCCTTCCATCACAAAGAGATGCTGAAAAAAGTAATCATGCCTTCTGTTTTACTTCTAACTCTATGTGCAGGGGGATGAGCTGAGAGAGACTCATGCATTAAGTAACACTTGCAGTAGCAGCAGCAGCAGTAGCAGAAAACTAAGGAATCTTTAAAAACACCATTGGTTAACATCAGTCCCAAATGAGATTTCAATTTGGAGTTTCAGATCCTTGTCCTTGGCAATGAAAACACCACTTGTCCAATCGGCTAGCAGACCACACACACTGTAGCCTTTCATGTCGCTTTCAACCCCTGATTCCCTCCTCAACGAGTGGACGTGTGGATGGTGGTGGTGGGGGGGCTCGTATGCGTCCTGAGAAAGGGTATGCATCTGTGTGTGGATGTACTGTATGTTTGGGTGTATATGTGGAGGGTGGAGACCAATTCAGCTCCGGCTCCAGTCTCTGAATAGGTCACGGGGTCTTTAGGGGTCAATGGGTCAGTCTCTCCCTGGGCTGAAGTCATTAGGTAACAGGTGAGGTGTTAGGGGTCATGTTGTTGAAGGGCCCGTTGTAGTTTCTGTCGGTACAGAGCATATTTTTGCTCCACTGCCCGCACACGCTCCGACTCCTCCTTCTCCAGGATTACCAAGAAGTTTTGTAGCTCAGGGACAGAGAATGCATGCCACTGCCAGAGGAACAGTGAAAAACAGATTGTTATACCACTGCGAAAAGTTAGTTTTTGCTACTACTGAATATTGCCTTAGCAGCATGTACAACTCCCATTTCATGCCAGATAAAGCACGTAGAAAAATGAACTGGGAGAAAATGATATACCACAGATATAAGTTTGTATTTATATGTATGTGTAAGTGTGTGTGCTTCCTCACCTCCACCTCTCCAGTCTCATTTTCCTTAAGGACAAAGCTGAGGTGCCCTGGGTCAGGCCCTGCTATCAACCTCAGAAGAAGTGGACGCTCGCATAGAGGAAGCTTCTGGAACAAATCTGGAGAGGGTAAAAAAAAAATAAGCACAAAATTACGATTTAGTGCTGTTGTTTAGATACGTTTTCTGCTAATGAGCTAATAACTAGGTGTCTTTTTCTCACCCTGTCCGTCGCGGTGCGTCTGCCTGTACAGTGCAAACTTGCTGGGGTTGTCCAACACCATGAATTTCTTCAGCAAGGCCTGGATGACCTCTCTGGTGGTGGTCAGAGAGCTTATGTGGAGCTGCTTCACACAATCGGATGGTAGGTAGAAGGATGTTCTCTTTTCACTCTGCCCACAGTCCTTCCCTTCCTGGCACTCTGACGGTGCTTGATTGTGGTTCGCCTTTACATCGGGGACTGTGACTGGTCGACTGAGCCTCAGGTGGACCTTAATGAAGCCTGTGTAGGATCCGTCTGAAGCCTAGAACACACAGAGAGAGGAGAAGGAGGGGGACAGTGAGCGGGTGGAGGCACATTTCAGTGTTGATCCAGTATGTGCACTATAGCAGGACTGAAGAAGAACTATTCTGGCACATAACCCCCTTGAATACAAAATCACTTCACTTCAGTTTTTGGACAAATTAAACAAACAAGATATATGATGTTAATTAATTAGGGGGATTTTGTTACCTTCGGACAGAGCCCAGCTGGCTGTTTCCCCCAGTTTACGGTCTTTACGCTAAGCTAAGCTAACCTGCTGCTGGCTGTTTTTTCTGTCATTAAATTTACATATTTAAAAAAAAACCAAAAAAACAACAAATATATACACTTTTTATATATGTATATCAGTTAATTTATTTTGATGTAGTCATGCATATTTAATGGTTACTTCCCTGTACATTATTTAGTGTGGTAAATAAAATCAACTTCACGCTCCTCTCATCTCTGTCCTACTGATATCCTACTTTTGTTCCTACTTTAGTATAGTCGCGTGCTACGTTATGTCCAGGCTCAATTTACTGTATCTCTTCATCAAATTAGAAAGTAAGAAGGTTCTTTGTTTCATTATTAATTTGACATTATACAGTAGTACACTCACCAGCTACAACAAGTGTTCAGAACTCACCAGTTTCATGCCATTTTCAGAGACTTGAGTGTTATACTCTTCTATCCTTGTCCGCACTTCTTCCTCTGACAGGTCCTTTGTTCCTCTCTCCTCTTCCTCCTTTGCTTCATTCTGCTGTAAGACAGAAAGAGAAGAGGTGTCAGTATTAAAATATAGTATTGTATTTAGTATGCACTGGTAGTGTCTGTGTTTTATTTTAACCAGCAGATGGTGCTGCTCCATCTGTAGTCCTGTAAAAATCAAACACTATGTTGCTTTGCTCAAGTTAATGAATAGAGAGCAGAATCAAGAGAAACCCATCCACCCTTTAAAGAAAAGTGGGCCGACTGATTAGCAGGCCTACCAGGTGTCATACTGGGTTGAAAACAAGACTAAAGAGCACGTAGGCCAGTCCCTGCACTCTGTGGTCTCCCTATCAATATCAACTACTTGGGACAACAACCCCCTCTCCAAATCCTCCATCTTTGTCAACCTCAGGAAGAAAAGCTGCTGCTCTGACTGAGGCCGATGTGGATTCTTACAGGCACTACACTATCTCTTCCTTCACAGCGTGCTTACACAGCTCTGCAGCTCTACATGTGGACAGGAAATGTTGTGAATGGAGCAAATCACACATTCAGAATCACAGCACGACAATATTGACAGCGCTGCCTCCCTTTCATTTTTACTAATTTCTCTCTGTGACTAGGAGTGACAGAGAGAGGGGTAAGAAGCAATGAAAGGAGGAGGAGAGGGACACCAAGAGGGGGAGGCAGTGGAAGAGGCGAGGAAATGGTAAGGAATGATGAAAGGGCGGCTGCTGAGCCAGCCTTAGCAACACAGAGTTTGACTGGGTTATTTATAGTACAGTGGGATGCATCCTTTCTATCTCACAATAGCATTTTTTTCCCTTCTGTTGTTTGTTTGTATTTTCTGGGGCAGAGTGTGTGTGTGTGTGTGTGTGTGTGTGTGTGTGTGTGTGTGTGTGTGTGTGTGTGTGTGTGTGTATGTGAGAGAATGAGAATGCAGGGCAGGAATCATTTCTGTAGGGGAGTCCTCAGGTTGTGTGATGAAGTCACGATTTCATTCAACACTGATGCAAGTGCATGTGCAAACTGAAGCACCTTGTGGTAATAAACAACACACAGAGACACACACAGCACTGCAGGTGTTCAGCAAAAAGAGGGGATAACATTGTAACATTTAAAATTTCAAGGAGAAGGATGCTGGGACTGAAGCCACTCCTCTGTGCAGTTATGGTCCTAATATCACGGTAAATGTCCATGTTGCTGTGAAACAGCAGTGACAGCGGCTGATGCTATTATTGTTGATGCATATCATGAATTCAATCATTCAAATCCCTCTTAATTAGGGCACAAACATTTAAACATTTAATATTAAGAGTTCACAGTCCTGGCTCTGTATCTCTACAGACTCACAGAGTCACTAAGTGTGATAATCTCATTGATATAAGAACATAATAACAATTCATACTTTTAATAAAAGTGGTGGCTAAATGAGATGAAAGTGTATACTGCAAAATCCAGGGTTAAGAAAAGAATCTGAGGCATATGGAGGAGTTGACGTGTATCTAGAATTCCTCCCAGTGAAAAGAACCTTGCAGGAATTCCTGCGTTTGTATGCAAGTTTCTAAATGTATCAGAGCCAGTGCCCTGCCCTCCCTTTCTGCATACCAGTGAGAGTGGTCAAGGGACAATTGAGCGGGACAATAGAGCAGTTTCCGCCCCTGAGAGTTCCACAGAGTCCTGGGACACTTGGACCAGGTCATGAAGGAGCCAATGGCCGACAAGACACAGAAACAGAGACATGGGAACCCTGAAGAGGCTTGCGCAGTCTGCACCGTTATTACAGGAAAACACGTACATTTTACAGATAAGCACCGTGGTCAACTTGCAGTGAGGAGTGTGTGAAGTAATAAACAATATGAGACATTGTCACCCACAGCACATCATTGTTTCCAGAGCTCTATTTTAACTGGTTACTATACAGTGATACTAAATGATGCAGGGTAATAACACTGATCGTTTTTACTGTTAAACATAATAAACATAACTGCCTCATGACTCGCAGCAAGGTTCATCATGTTCACTTGTAGAAACATAACGCGTTATCTGATTGATTTTTTTAATATTATGTCTAAACTGGTCCAATCTGATACACCAAACTATCAGGTTATGCTGCATTTAGTGCTAATAAATTCTTATTTTGACTCAGCTTGCACAGTGACATAGATGACCAAATATATACAGATCAATTCTACCCAGAAAACACCAGCCTCCGGTAATAACTGATGTAACTGTAACTGATTTGTCACCGTCTCGATAATAACAATATCACAGGTGACAGGTACAGGCCATTTAATCCAGTTTAATGATGTGATTCATATAGATGTAAAGCAGCTTAAGTGTGTAACGTATCTAGGACTGTTACATAAGGGTGACACATATGTACAACACACCATGCAGATACACACAAATATGCCTCAGGGTGACATGAGTAAGTGTTGATGCTCTCACTCTGATGAGATCAGACAAGAGAGGTCACCTGACTGCTGCAAAATAGTCAGTATTAAACCATGTGCCAACCAGTCTGTGTATAACCTGGCCACCTTTTCATTAACTTGAACTTAACCTTGACTTTGTCTGTCAAACTTGCAAGTGTGTGTGTGTGTGTGTGTGTGTGTGTGTGTGTGTGTGCGATTGACATCATGATCTTCAGGTAACAGTAGCCTCTAGGATCGATTACAACTGGCTAAGATTGAGGACATGCTGTCAGAGCCAAACTAACAATACTCAACTAGTAGAGAGCAAAAAATATGGGCATTTTCCAATGATAACACATGAACATGCACAGCACACACACACACATATCCACACACACATATTGATAACAGCATGTGTTAGCACAGCGCCTTTACTGGGTCAAGTGTCGAGGAGGAAAAGCACGATCAAGAACACACACGCTGATTCTATTTCACAGCTCAGAGACCGCTGTGTACCAGCACTGCCAGCAGTACACACACACACACACACACACACACACACACACACACACACACACACACACACACACACACACACACACACACACAAAACACATTAAAGCTGGTTGGCTAATCTGGAGCAAAAGGCTCGGCTCTGGAAATAATTCATAAAGAAAAGAGGATCTGAACTCCCCTTCCACTGTATGAATGAATGTAAGTATCTCCCAGTGTGTCTGTGTACACACATGCATGGAAGGAGACAGTGACACATTTTAATTTCTTATATACCAACCACATGATAATATCTCTATTCACAGGATGCCAGACTGACCTTTTGCATATCTCCTTTTCATATACAAACACAGGAAAAAGAGGAGACTTTAACTGTGGGGCCTCTTTTACTGCTCTACCAGAGGATACAATTCAATTACTGATATGTAGAACCACTTTACCCAATGTTCTATAGACTGTGCTGCTGTACTCAGCTCATCAGCTGGCAGCTTCTGTGCTGCCAGCCCAGACAAGCTAACCCCAATACCCTTCTGTCTCGGTACAGCAGCAACCCTAACTCCACAAGCTGACAACACAGCTGGTCAATTATTCAGAGATTATACCTTCTCCAAGTCAGACACCAAAGGCACAGCCAGGCTAAGGACAGCAAGAGGAAGGCTGAGCATGTCTTAAATGAACCTGAATGTCCGTGTGGTTTCAGAAAGTTAAGCTTCTTCTGCAACCAGAAACATCTCATTATTTTCATCTGTCACACTCCGCGTCTCCCTCTTCTGCTATATGAAATCACTCACCTCACCTCACCTACTATGCATCATGGGAAAATCCCCCAGAAGATGCACCTAGCACCCGTGCAGCGCAAGTAATACTGTATATACTGCGGCAAAAGCATATGACACAATTATATGTGATGTAATCCAATGTACAGTAGACCAAAACCAAATCTCAGGAAGTGTGTACAGTGCCAACAGAAGCATGAGTTGCTATGGTAACTAGGAAAATGGTTTGCTACAGTTAAGTAGTTGCCGTTTACACACAGAGACACACACACGCACTCGTTCTAGTGAAAAAGTATCAGCTTTGTTTCTACAGAAACCTCTCCCACGCACTGTAGAGAGGAAGGCTCTATGGAATCTGTAGGTTAACATCATTAACTCTGCTAAAACACAGCAAACACATTATTTCTGTTGAGATGAAACCACACAGCAGTAAGCCTTCACTCTCCAAACAGTGTTTTCAGACAATGATGCTAATTCTGTGCAGGCCACTCACATGATAAATGAGCTGCAAAAAGGCATCAAGGCTGATGAACAAGGCTTGACAGGCCAGAGATCAATGTGACACAACAGATGTATGACAGTAACCCCTTCCCACACTCTCACATACAGTCACACACCTAGAGGCCTACTTAAGCATGCGCAAACACCACCACTTCCTCTCTACACTTCTGCTTTTAGATGGCATGTTTCTGATATAAATGGCAGTTTGTTTCACAGCCCAACTGAAACACCGACAATCTGACCCATCAGAATGTGTCTTACTCTTGAGCTTTCATCTATCAGAGTATCTGTACCTTAGCTGCATGCTTGGGCTTGCCGAAGAACGAGGTCTTGGCTGTGAAGAAACTGAAGTCTTCGCTCTCATCATCCAGGCTGCAGTACCCGCTGCTCATGCTGTTACTGCTGGTCATGGAGGGGGTCGGCACTGTGTTGACAGTCATGGAGAAGTCCAGAGATGGCCACCGGTACAAGTGCAGCAACGAAGCAGCACGTTGACGGCTTGAGGAAGTGCTGGTTTATTTTTCCAAAAAAGGCAGGGCTGATGTGACACTCGGCCACAATCAGAGTCTGCGTGCATATAACTGTCCTTTACTCATCCAGAAAAAGTCAGCGCTCCTCTGCTGGTGCATCCGGAGAGTTAAAGTCCCACCTGTGAGGGCGAGACAGGTGAACTGGGCTAGGATTCAGCACTTTGCGTGCCACCGGAGAGGGGACCAGGAAATCCGAGAGCGAGCACAGACGTGTCACTTCCTCCTATGTGTACGCTCTGACGCCGGTGTCACAAACACGCGCACACTATACAGTATATTCACCTGGTCATTTGCAGCTTAACATACACACATGTGCACGCTCATACCCAGCATGTAACTGTCTCGCACACACACATCGGCAAACAATGGTGTCAAGGAGTCAGTTTACACGTTGGTTTCAAGTTAACCCTGCTCACCTGAGAGCCCCCGTTATACACACAAACGCTTATATATGGCACACATGAAATACCACATCCTGCTTTCTTCCTGCTCTGTGCCTCTGTGAAGACAAAACATTTAGAACAGTTCAGTTCTTCCCAGTTGCAGCGGCAGCTCAATTATGCCGGCATGTTATGAGCGTGAGCATCCATCCGTCCCCGGAGTCCAAAGTAAACAGCAGGCAGAAGATTTCTTGGCGTTCATAGACCATGTACTATCTCCTCTCTCCTCTTCTCTCAGTTGCTTTTGCAATACTACCAGAGAGACGGATGCCTCCCACACTCTTTCTTATACTCTCCCTTCCTCTCTTCTCCTGTCTCTCTCTTTCTGTCTGTCTCTGCACCCGCTTTTGCTCCCTCACTCTCTTGCAGCCTTGCTCAACCATCTGTGGTTGAGTGTGTTATCAGACTGCAAGCACCCTCCCCCTTCTCCCTCCTCTCTCTCTCTCTCTCTCTCTCTCTCTCTCTTCCTGCAAGCGACTGCACCCTGCAGAGCATGGCCACTTCCTCTTACAGAGAGAGAGAGAGAGAGAGAGAGAGAGAGAGAGAGAGAGAGAGAGAGCGGCATGGGTAAGTAGAAAGAGAAACGCTGATGAGTGAGAGATATGAAGCCTCACAGCTACTGTTTTACATACGTCAGAGCAGCAGCGACAGGAAGCAGCAGGGAGGCCGGGGGAAGATGGCTGCTCCTCTCGTGAGATTCTGCTGCAGGATGCAACGGTTCACCGGTAGCCATCACAACCACTGTAAACATGCAGCTTTTATGTAGGGCCAGTGCCGTAATTAGAGCTAATGTTTCCCCACCCAAACCAATCAGAGATAAATACAGACCAGAAAATAAAAACCCTCCACAGCTGCACTACTACAGCTAATTTGTTGGTGGAAGGGAGGGCTCACTCTCAGCCCTTAAAGTGAGATTAAGAAAATAATTAACAATTGCCCTCAGGATAGAGATTACAGTGACCTCTAACCTTATACTGATCCTACAATCTGCCCTCTGACTCTGGGGGCGACCTCCTCGTCAAAAACCAGCTACTGCCCCCATCACTGTTGAGATTGATGGTGCTTATGATTTAAAAATGTACTCAGACATGACTATAGGTAAACCTATATGCTACTGGAGGGCTGCAGCATGCAGGGACACCCTTTCATCGGGTGTCTTTCTGTCGGGTTAAAGTCAGACGAAGACTGATTACCTGCAGCTCTGCTCCTCGCTTCCATCAGTGTAATCACTAAGGGAGAAAGGCATCGTGCAGGGGGTGGGATGCTGAATACACACACACACACACACACGCACACATACTGAACAACAGTCTACTACTGGCTTTGAGTCGATGAAGCCTGGTTAATGTGCTGCATGAATGTGCTTATTGGGGGTAAAAGGGGATCAATTTCTGCTGATGCACACACAGTAGGGACTTTCAAAGATAGAGGGGAAGAAAACATAAGCACACACACACACACACACACACACACACACACACACACACACACACACACACACACACACACACACACACACACACACACACACAGAGCTGTAGCTATAAAACAGAGCAAAAGGGGAGAAAAGGGACTGCAGGAAATGAACTGTCATATTTCTTCTTGTCTGCAGGACTAGTGTACTCTTATGAACAAAAAACAGAGTGTGGAGAGAGGCAAACCAAAGTTCACATGCCTCTAAGACAAGACATCATCAACGCTCACTTAATCCTGACTTTCAGCTCATTATCTTGAACTACACAGTCATTAAACTCAGAAAGATGAAGTAGCAGTCATTAAGCTAAAAATAACTCCAAAAAAATAATATGCCATTATTTTGTTCCAGTAGATGTGGACCAGTGAAAGAAATTAGAATGCGTTTTGATCAACAGCCTAAACTGTAGTTTGAGCAGTTACCTCTTGACATTTGGTAAAATGTACTCGATTCATTCCCTTCCCTCGCTCACTCGCTCCAATTCCCATCAACATGTTTCAGTGTGGCATGATTGTGGTTATTTGTTTGCGCTCTCTAGAAGCGGAGTACTACCTGGCACACTACCAGGGGTCTAATTTTGTGTTATCTGCTCCCCGGGCAGAGAGTAGCTGCCAACATTCTACTGAAGGCCTGTGGGGTTATCCAGCTTTCTCTTGTGCATGATATGTATGTGAGTGTTTGTGTGTGTGTGTGTGTGTGTGTGTGTGTGTGTGTGTGTGTGTGTGTGTGTGTGGACCACATTGCGTGGTTGACTGAGGCTGGGATGCCAAGAGCAGCATGCAGATTCACACTCTCTCAGATTCCTGTACACACACACAAAGAATGGGCAAAGCACTATTTTGAGGATTCATTTTACATAATTACTGTATTACTAGATAGCCTGTGGCTCGTACAGTGCGAGAGTATGAAAAATGATGGATTTTGAGTTTAACTTGATGCATAATATTGCAATAATGGAAAACTAAATACATTCCACAGTAATGGAGGTCCCTACAGAGAATAGCGATTAACCTAATTAGTTAGAATTCACATAAGAGAAGCTGAGGAAGTGAGGACATCAGGATCCGCCACTGATTGAATGAATCAAACCTATACTACAGGGGAGAGATGACAAGAGAACAACAGAGCAGGCAGGAGAGAGGGAGGCACATTAGATGCTTCCTGCGAACATTCTGTGACCAAAAAAAGCAAATGAGCGCATATATAAATAAATTCATAAGTAGACAACCGAGGAGGAGGAGGAGGAGGAGGAGGAGGAGAGACACTATGTTGTGAAAGCGGAGGATGGTTATGTAAAAGTGTAGGCCTGGAGAGATGCTGCAGAATGAACCCTGCCATTACCCAATAGTGACTCACGTACACCTCTGCAAAATAACACTCATACAAGAGTTCAACACACTCAGTGTTAGATGAATGTGTTTGCTCTTCAGCAGTGCCCCTAAAAAGCCACAAATAGTTCTCAACAGCCTTTTCTTTACGCTTTATTCTACCAAATAATATTTTTGTGTTTTTGTTTTGTGTTTGAAATGCCTGACCTTATGTGGAGGGGCTGTGGAGGAGCAGCGGCTTCTGGGAGATGGAGTTTCTTCCGGCCTTCTGTCCCTCTGGTTGCAGTCCAGCTGGACTTCGTTTTCACACTCCAGGTGACAGGTGTAGCTGCAGTCTGATGAACACAAAAAGACACCAATCAGAGATAAAAGCACTAAGGACAGAATCAATGTCTGAAAAGCAGTGAATAAAATGCCGTCAGACATTGATGAACATCGAGGAACTATATTCATGTCAGAGAATGTAATGCTGATTAGTCACCTGTAAGTGTGTGAGTGAAGAAGACAGCCTAATTCTGATTTAATCAAACATGCATAATCATGCAAATACTCCCTTTACACAGAGAAATAGCTCCATCTAGTGGCAAATGTCAGACACACACCTACAAGGTACTGGGGCTGCAGTGCGAGCGCTCATTAACAAAACATACCTGCCAATATTTATTTATGTGTAGAGTGACTTAGATTGAACAATAGCACACACAAGATACACTTATCCACTTAATGTTATGACATAAACACAAATTATCCCAGCAATTAACCTACCAATTACACCTCTGAGATCCACTCCTGTACATCTACCCATCAGAAGACAGGAAATACTTTGCTACATACAACTGTCTCATTACACAATCTATAATGGACATGTTGTACATGATCAAGCAAAGATCATAAAGGAAATAAATACATAATGTGGTACACACATACTGTATTGTAACAATAGATGGACACGCTCCTTTTACACCAGTACAGCAGCCCTGGTATGGTCAACTCACATCTCACTGCTATGCTAGAAAAGAATAGATTTAGGTACTTCCCCCAAAACTTCCCAAAATAGTCCACTGTTCTTTGATTTTTCGTTGGTCCCACATATGACAGCCTTGGTTTGTTTATGCCTTACCGACTTTATTGTGGCCAGAGGCTTTTCCACTGAGACGCATAGCCACACATCTAACTTCTCCTCTGTTGGTGAGATGATCCATGCTAAAGAAAAGAGAGATTTTAAAAACCGCATGGGCAAAGAGAAGACTGCAGTTTGGGGGAAACTCTGAGTCAGATCCTTTTTATGTTCCCCAAGCAGGAAAGCTTCTTAAATAAAAACACTTTACAGTAGCCTACACGCAATCAGCCAGACTGAATAAAAAAAAAAGATTTCAAGAACATTCAGTTCAGAAGCTAATAGTTGATTATTCGCTTCTAAACAACACGTTGTTTTCTGGTACACCTCGTTGTTGCTGCAGTCAGTGCTGAGTTAGTGAACTAAGCTAAGCCTGGCTGGTTTTCTGTCAAGTGATATTAGTGGCTCTGTCTGTATCCTGCTAACAGAGGGACACCGCTCGCACTCAGCATCAGCACCGTAACCGTGGCAACAAGCTTCTTGATGACCACTGTAGAAAGATAAGCGCTCTACTTACATAAGGTTACTGCTATTAATTGGCTATAAAGCCCAGATAAATCACAAATGAGTTTTACTTTACCTGGAATTGCAGGCATTTTCACAATAGCTCATTTGGCAATGAAATGCACCATGCATTATGCACTGGCACTGGAAAATAGTAGGCCTGATTATTGAAGCAAAGACAAAGAGGAGGGAGTAAAGGGGAGGCAGGACACGGCCTACTGACAGGAGGGATATGTCCAGCAAAGAGGAAAGTTCAGATAAAGGATACTTTACTAATGACAGTTTAGAGGTCACTGAATTGAGAGAGGGAGATAGATGTAAGTATGTGCGACAGAGATAGGTTGGCAGAGAGACTGAGAGTGACAGGGAAGGGCTGCAATACCTCGCTGACAGGAGGGATGTGTTGAGGAAAGAGCAGAGTTCAGATATGGGAAACTCTGCTCATGACCACTTAGAGGTCATTGCAGAAAGACAGAAAGAAAGGAAGCACACAGGGGAAGGGAAGGGAAGAGAGAAACTCCTTTCCTGTCTCTTCATTTACTCCATCCACCCTCATTCTGGATTAGAGAAAATGTCAGACTTTTACTTAAACGGTTTCACAGCTACAGTAAGATACACCACTGTCAGCAAGTCACAGCAGTCAAACCCAGGATCCAGATCTTTCCCACACTGATAAGGCTGACTCTCACTCACACACATAAATATTACTGTATATACACACGAGGAAATCAGCATTTAGGACCAAGTGCTGCCGGACACGCATAAATAAACAAAAAGGTGTGGGGCATTGTGTATTTTGCTGACATCCTTGTGAAAACATGTTTTACACCTTGTTTTACAACTTAAACAAACCCCTGGGTTTGAACTTAGGTTAAATTAAGTTATAGGATTAGGATTCATTTAAAATAGGTCTTAGAGTAAAGGTGTTCTGCTTTCATTGGATTCAAGGCCCCTAAGTGTGAAACTCAAATGATTCAGGCT